AAGATGTGCTTGTAGAAGTTTTAAGTTATCGAGGCCGATAAGACCATCAAATGTTTTATGGAATTTAAAAAGGTAGAATTTTAAATTAATATTAGAGTTAAATTCTGGGAAGATTGGAATTTCAGCACAATATTCCTGTGAATGGTTTTGAAATATTGAACTGACTACAAACGGTTCATGTTTGATAAAATTTTTATAAAATTTGGATGCAATTTCGGGGTTAAGAAATGATTTGGTTGCCCCTGTATCAAGAAGAAGTTTAAGGGGAGGATTTTTAATTTCGATATATGGAAGTTCTTTTTTATCTGAGTAAGAATTGAGTTCGACTACGTTTCTTCGTTTTCCTCTTGGAGTTTTGGAAAATTTATATCCTCTTCTTCGTATTGGGCATTTTGGTAATCTTCTACGTGGTAGTCATCTGAATATGCGTCTTGATTTGGATAGTAGTATGTCTGTTCTCCATAGTAGGCATCGGTATCGTTTTCGTCTTGTTGTTCAATATTGAACAGCTCCTCTACGGTGAACTTTGGGGTGTGTGGTTGCTGTTGCTGCGGCCTAAAGTTTCTGAAGCTTGAACCTCTGTTATGTCCCGTTTGGCGTGTACTTATAGACATGGGTGTTGGTTTGTACTGTTGTGGTGGTCTGCTTGCCCATGGGTTAGGTCTTGGAGGTTGAGTGTTTGCCGTGAATTGTTGCCTTGGTGGTTGGAATCGAGCGGGTTGTATCGGCCATCTTGGAGTAAATGTTGGTCGGGACGGTGCTGGATTACTTCCGAAAAATGGTTGATGTAACTGTGGCCTGGGCATGGGTTGTTGCCATTGTGGTGGTGTTGTGAACTGCGGTTGTCTCTGGGGTTGTATGTGGGTAGAATTCTTATTTGGCAATGAAAAATTTGTTTTCTGCAAATATCTAATATTGTTTTCTTCTTGGATAAATTGAAGAGCGAAAGCAAGATTTGTAGGCCTCATTGATCGTATGGTTGATCCCATTGGTTCTCGTAATCCTGCTAAGAACGTAGTTAGGGCCTGCTGTTGAAAGAATTCCTTTTTGCTCCTCTTTACATCTGCATTATCGGTATGTAGTTCGATGTGATTAGAAATTGTGTTTAAAAGTGACATTACTTTCTCGTGAAATTGTTGAGGAGTTTCGTTGGGTCCTTGCCTTAAGTTTACCATGTCTCTTGTAAGTGAATTTTCATTACGTTGATCGGCAAAGTTTTGAATTAGTATGGTCCTTATTGTGGGCCAATCTTTACAACCATATACGGAAATGATTTCTCGAGCTCTTCCCTTAATTTTATTCATTACACCTCGAGTTATCATGTGATTTTGGAAGTTATCGGGATTATTGTGGTCCCAGAAATGATTAAGAAGCATTGTAGTAACTTCAATGAAGTTATGAAGTTCATTAGGGTTGCCATCGTAATCGGGCACGATGGAAAGATCTTTATTGACGTCGAAAACTAAAGCGGGAGCGGGTGCCACGGCCATAGTATTTAATTGACTAGCGGGGGTAATAATTATAGATGGTATATCTAAGCTATTTAAAGTATTATTTAAAGAACTAACGTTGGTTTTTAAACTAAATTGAGAAGCTGAGTTATTTTCCGAAATAGAAGCAGCACCAGGTTCGATAATCGATTCACTAATAGTTGAAAGAGAATTACTAATTCTAAGAGATGAAGCTTGTGAAGCGATTAAATTATGATTAGAAAAAAGATTAAATTTGCTTACAGATAAATGATGATGCTTGGGTGCATTTCTTTTCGAAGGAACTGGTTTCTTTTCTTCTTTCGCTTTCTTTTTATCGTCTTTCGTCATATAAATTGATTTCTACACTTTAACACTGGATTTTCGTTGACTTCTGGGGTTGAACAGCCGTAGTTTTCCCTTGAAGTTGGTAGGTTCGTAGCGGGTAAACGTTTAAGAACGACGAGGATCTTCTGTAGACTCTCCCACTATCTTACTGCACTGTGCCACTTAAAGGTTTGAACTCACGAAGGTACTTTTTAAAAAGACCCTTTATTCACTTTTACAACTATACTGCACTGCTTTATTGATTGAAAATAACTGAATTTAATTATAATACAATTGCTTTTATATAAAAATTAAATGCTGACAAAGTGTTGAATGAGTTTGCTGACCTCCGGGGTTACTGCACCGTAATTCGCCATTGATGATGATGATAATAATGATGATGATGAAATATACTGTATAACTATTTATATGGATGTGAAATATGGATCATGAAGGATAATATGATGGACATTTTAGGATGTACGTTGAAAAATTAAGGCAAATATCGAGCACAAATTTAATAATCAAATCTTGCCCAAGTACTTTCGATTTCTACAGCATCATCAGGAGCATCTGAAATAAGCCAAGAAAAGTTTTTTAAATGAAGAAAATTAATAAAATTCGATAAAAAACTCGAAGTTAATGGATGATAAAAGTTTTTTGTGATTAACATTTTAGACTTACTTCGTCAAATTTGGGCTATCCAGCAAGCGCAGATGCCCCTGATGATGCTGTAGAAGGCGAAAGTACTTGGGCAAGATTTGATTATTAAAATTATTAAATTATTAAAATAATTGACTCCTGCATCTTGGAAAGATATTTCAGAATTAAACATACATGGAAACATACACGGAATTGAAAGATATTACAGCAGGGCTGCCACAAAGAAGTGTCTTTACCTTTTGTATACGTGTTATATTATTATCCTAGAAAATATACAATTGCAACATTTACCGAAGATATTGCTATCATAGCAATATGCAAAACCAGCGAGGAAGCGACAAAGAAATTACACCGATGTTAATCAGATATATACTCCAGGGAAATAAACAAAAAATAGACCATGTTCGTGACACTCAATAATCCAGGTCGCTGACAACTTTTTTAGTTATTGTAGACCTATAGGAAGAAAACCTACTTGTTTCTTGCCTTGAATTTGGAGCTGTTTTTTAATTATTGACAATTTAATGCAAAAAACGCGATTGTTTCTATGATTATTGATACTAGTATTAAAAAAATAGATTTTTGGAAGAAAATTGTTTTTGCACGAATTGTTTAAACAAACTAGACTATTTATTAATAATTTATATATTGCTTGTTCGGTATGGATTTGTAGGTTCTTCCTAGTCACCATTTGAACTACATTTTTAAAAATTCGTAGAGGGTCCTGTAAAGGTACAATGTTTGTGCAAATTTTTTAATAAAAAATACAAATCCCATTCCTTAACATGACATCAATGAGGTTCCTTATTTATTATAATCAAATTAGCTGTGAATTATCATCTTTTCGTTGACTTGATCTACTGCTTGTTGTAATTGGTCGTAAAACACTTCCCTTGTTGTTTGAGGCTTATTATTTTCTGGGCCGTATACTCCGATAATGTTCAGGTTTTCCTTCTCCATTCTTATCTTTGATGTTACTATTCTTTCTAATATGTATTGACACTCTTTGATGTAATTTGGATACCTTTGGTGTATTAGTAAGGCTACACCTTCTTTGGCCCTGTTTTCTTTTGCTACTCCACTGTATATTAGTATGTATTCACCTAATTTTGATTGACCTTTTCCTTTATTTTTTGTTTGCTGTAGAGCACAAATGTCTATTTCTTTCTCTTTCAACACTTAGGTTATTTCTTGGTCCCTTGAGTTGAGGGATCTGATATTCCAAGTAATTCTCATCTGGTTTTGGATGTTTTTCGCTTGTCCTTATTTCTTGCCGTAGTCGTCTTCATAGTATCAATCCGGTTCCGAGACTGTACATTGTTTCTTTGAGCAGTATTTGATTTTACGATTGGTAGGTTGCTAACCAATAAATATAACTAATTAAATTTCATATTCAAATACTGCAAAATATTTGGTTATTACTCTGAGCTCATGTAAAGAAGAAAAGAAAATAATAATTCTGATTAAAATACAAAAAAAAATGTACTGGATGATTGACCAAAACTCTACGCTGTTTCTATATAATAAATTATTATTATATAAGCAAATACTGAAACAATAGTATTATTATAAAAACAGTATAAATATTTAGAAGGAAAATGTCACTAATCAACAGAAAATATTTCTATTCATATAAAAATTTAATAAAATTATAGGTACTTACTGCTTATTTATATAAAATTTCCTATTTTAAATTCAATAAACACACTGGTTTGTCAAAAGTCGGAATAAGCCCTAATAATGTTATTCAACTTTATTTATCCTCCTCCGAGGGTTTTACCTACCTGGCGAGAATCCAGAAGCTACCAACAAGGACAGCCTGTGCTGACGGAGAGAAAATTGCATTTAGCAGAAATTTAAAATTTTTTAAAAGTTTATATCAAATAGCTGCTTTGTGTTACACTTTATGTTAAAAATAAAAACAGATTCGGAAAGTGGGTCAAATTCTGTAGTGCCCTATTTAAAAAAAAAAAATTTACGTTTATTTTAACCAAAAATATTTGAAAAAAAAAATATTGTTTAAACAATTTATTAATTTACAACCAAATAGTGCACTAGAACTTTTTTAGACCTTCCATATAAAAAAGAATCATCTCAATATCTGCCATAGTTTTTGCGTTATTTGATATAAACTTTTACATTGGAATTTACCTATGCCCAGAATCGCGAGGATCGGCCTTAAGTAAAATTTTAAGTACAACCGCTCACATTTTCCAAAATATGTTTCGTTCATTATTATATAAATTCTTGAAGCAAATCAAGTTGACGAAAGTAAATATGGGTTAGCCACAATTGTATAGTAAAATTATCTAAAACATTTTATAGGTTTCATTTTTATAATCGGGTATATTATTGTTACTACTAAATAGTTTTTGTAATTAAAATTTATGAGCTACATGAGAAATGATTGTAATAGTAACCTTCTTGTTTGATCAAAATATTTTTCCTATTTATAGACATAAGTACAACAGCCTTTGTGTTACATGTTTTTGGAAACATACCAGTGTACAAATATTTTCATTTTAAGTATCATGTACTTACATTTCACTGTTCTCATTTAAAGATATTATACTTGGTATGTTTGATGATGAGTATACTAAGTAATGATCTCATAAAGTAAGTTATTAAAAAAAATAAATTTTAAGTTTTTAATTGTATACTCTACTGGAATGTTGTCAAGTATTTTGGTTCAACAGATATAAGAACATGGAAAGGGAAGAAAAGAAAAAAAATATTTTTTACTTTACATATAAGCAGATTCATTGCAGCAAATATTGCATAGCATAACTATAGATTGTTTATCTTACTGTTTATAGGATGATTGATTTATTGTCTATATTATGAATGTCTTACCATAGTTATTTTTTAGGTGAAATTATTCAAAGAATGGTTTATACATTGGGCTGCTGACCAAAAACAAAACTTTCTTGCTCAAATATCTGAAATAGATTCAGTTTTTGCTAAAAAACTAAATGAAGAAATTCAAAATGGTGTAGTTGTTCATGAACCTCACCAAGACATAAATGGAGAAGATATTTTGGAAGACTACTAAAATTATTAAATTTTTATTTTTACATACATCCCGAATATATATTATGCACAGAATATTATTTTCCTCTAATATATAAATCGATTTCTGACTTTAAGTTGTTGGTAATAACTTGGACTTGGTCATATGTGAATAGTATTTAATGTGATATTTTTTTAGATGATATTTATACTAAATATAGTTTAAAGTGTTTATAAATTTATAAATGTATGTTATTTATATCTAATTATCATAAGAAAAACGGCAACTATTTTTTAAATTTAGTGTATACTTGTTAAGAAACATTTTCGATTTGTTTTCATCACAATAAAAGAGTGATCCCATCCAAGCAAAATATTACTAAGAATCATTAAACGCCGTTTGCAACAGTACTTAGACAACCAAATTCCCCAAGAACAAGCAGGCTTTGTCAAAGGGAAGGGTACGAGAGAGCAAATCCTTAATATGCGGCAGCTCATAGAAAAGGCCCGCGAATTTAAAATTCCAATAATAATCTGTTTTCTAGACTACCAAAAGGCATTTGATTGTGTAAAGTGGGAAGTTCTCTGGACAGTTCTTCATGAGATGGGAGTTCCAGATCATTTGGCAATATTAATTAAAAACTTATACGAAGATAACTCAGTTAAAATAAGAATTGAAAACCAGCAATCTGATACCTTCAAAACCAGCAGAGGTGTACGACAAGGCTGCATACTATCTCCAGACCTGTTCAATTTATATGGAGAATACATAATGAGGAACGCACTCGATGGATGGAGAGGCGGCATCTCCATTGCAGGGAAAAAGATCTCAAACTTAAGATTCGCAGACGATACAACACTGATAGCAACATCTGAAGAGGAGATGTCGAGACTGATAAAGAGAGTAGAAACCGAAAGCAACAAGTGTGGGCTCAAGATTAATAATCAGAAAACAAAAATCATGATTGTGGACCACGCGAATATCCTCCAAACAACAGGCGCCCTAAATCAATTCGAGAAAGTAGACGAGTTCACGTATCTAGGATCTTCCTTAAGCAATGCAGCCTCCTGCCATACGGAAATTCGCAGAAGAATAGGAATGGCCAAGAACGCGATGAGTCGACTGTCAAAAATATGGAAGGACCGCTCTTTGTCCAAAAAACTCAAAATGAGACTGGTACGGACACTCGTTTTTTCAATCTTTAGTTACGGTGCCGAAACATGGACAATAAAATCAGAGGATAGGAAAAGGATTGACGCATTCGAAATGTGGTGCTGGAGACGAATGCTACGCGTCTCGTGGACGGAGCACAGATCCAATCAGTCGATTCTCGAAGAGCTAAACATTCAGACCAGACTCTCCTCTCAGTGTCTTGCAAATGTTTTAAAGTTTTTTGGCCACATTGCGAGAAGAGACAATGACAACTTAGAAAGACTAATTGTGTGCGGAAACGTAGAAGGACGTAGAGGCCGAGGACGCTCACCTATCCGATGGTCAGATCAAGTACAGAAAGCCACTGGAGAGACGTTTTCCGAGTCCATGAGAGCAGCCCAAAATCGCAAGAGATGGAGAGAATTGACAGCCCGCATTGTAGGGAATCACGATCCTCAGCAATGAGGAAACGACAAGAGAGAGAGTAAAGTAATGCTGTGTTTTAGTTTGATTGCATTAATACAGTTGGTTTTGTTCTTTCTGGTTGTAGATCATCACAAAAAAACTGAAAAATTATGCTATAATGTAACATATTAGATTGAATTTGTTGATTATCTCACAAAAATCCAGTATTTTTTAGTAAATTTTATTTATTGATAACAAATGGGACAAACTCACTGTCAAAATTAAACAAGAATCCAGCAATAAAGAAATTGTAAGTACACACTTATTTATACAAAGTATCTTTTTGAAATTTAAGTGCTTTAAATAGAACCTAAAGATATTGATATATAAGTTAAACAAATCTATCTAATGAGGTAACTGATTACCATGCATGAAAAATAGGACCACACTTATATTTGAACCATAATTTATTCTGTGATGGGAAACATGAAAAAGTGAATTGTAAAGCAGTGAACGGGAAGAAATATGTAAAACAAATTGGCTGAAGCAATTCAGGAGATTGGATTATTAAGCTTAAAAATAATGATCAAAGTCAAAGTTAACTCTTCTGGTAAGAAAAAAACTAGATTCAAGAAATTGATCACACCAGAATAAGAATATGGTCTAGGCAGTTTAAAAGAACAGTATTTCAGAAATCTTTTAAGTCTCTCTAACTTTTTGATACATGCAATTTGCATAGCTTTGTTGCATATAAGATCTATTTGCAAATTAAAATACAAATTTCTGTGAAAAAACATACTTAGATATATTATTGACTCTCCGGATCAAAATATTCCCTAAATTATAATTAAATACCATAGACTCAACTACCAGAGATCTATAAAACTAAATCTCACGATATTTAAATATATATGCATGGGACCAAATGTGAAAAACGTCCTTTTTTATTGCAGTAATTGTAATATAATTGAAAAAAAAATACTATTCAAACATAAATAACAAAGTTAGGTTAAAATTGACGTGCAAGGTTGTCCAATATTGATTACTCGATTACCGCAAGGCCGAGATAATCAACAAAAAAAGAAGATGTATTTGGTGACTTTTCTAGTAACTTTCTTGGGTGTGAATCTGTCTTTTTGGTTTACACCTCCTGGTTAAAAAACAGAGTATAGTTCCTGTCCATCTTATAAAGATCAAAGTTGTTACGAGTAGTAAAAACTTTTCCATTTTATAAATCATTGACTTATTTTTTATACTCGTACTATTAATACTATGTTAACATTAAACTCTGTAACTTTTAAAAGTAAGTTTAGTTTTGCGGTAGGTAGCTAAAGCTTTACCGAAGATTCCTGTTAAAACATATAAAAAGTATAATCTACTGCAAAGCTTTCCCACAGAAATGTATTTTTCGTTACGTATTTTCTCTGTTTTATTTTATAATAAAGATATTAATGCCGAGGAATCAATCTCCGTAATTCCAAGACGTTGTCTCATCAAACAATGACTTTTCAACCTGTATCTACAATTACATAATATTTTTTGCTTTGACTGATATAACCTAAAATGGAAAGTTCCGAAAAAACACTGATTTATGACGTAATACCGTTGAAGTTCAACTCAAAGCTTTAAATTCCCTCTTCAATTATTTAACCTTTTTTTCGCCAGTCTGCTTTTTGAGTCAAAGTTATTTCAAATTTGAGAGCGAGATTCAGCTCCAAATCAAAGAATAATATATCTCCTAAGTAAGATAGACGGTACGTGTACATTTAAAATTAGAATATGTATAAGTGGCACAAAAGATGAATAATATCCAACTTTTGTGTATTATGCAAAAGGCGGGAGGACTCTAGACGACGGAGGCTGGTTTATTGACGAAATAAATTTCCAGAGAAGATGCCACACAGAACATAATGATCGGTTTTTCTTCATTTGAAATGGAAACGAGCCCTACATTATTTCTTAATGAACACAACAGGGCCGAGCTATATGTTTTCTACTCTTCTCGGATTATTATGTATATAAGGTGATTTATAAGGGCAGATTTGCATTTGAATTAAAATATTTGAAAATAGTAAATGCCGACGCTTCTTTTACTATGTTTTATTTATTTTACAAGGATACTATTTGTATAAACTAATGCAAAACTTAAACTCCTACATACGTCCCGACTACTGAATCGCCCAACTGTCGTTACCGACAATGTTGGGCCAGACACAAAAAAAAGTTGTACCCGACGGTTGGGCCGACCGATCTGTTTGTACCACCGCACATCCCGACAGCCGACTTCCCAATTAACCAACCTGTAGGGTCGAGACATGACAACTTTTTTGTCGGTCAACAAATCTACACATACACCAACCGTCTAGCCCAACGTTGTAAATTACGACAGTTAAGTGGTTTAGTAGGGACGTATATAGGCAGTTTAAAACGTTGTAATGTAAGCGTAGCAAGTGAGTGAGAAGTTGGAATAAAGGGATAATGGAATAATAAGTAGCATAGAAAAGATAATAATTATTCGAGATAATTATTATATATTCCAAATTAAATAAGGGATAATTAATACAGTTAACTTATACATTTAAATTATACAAAGTATAACAATTGACCTAGTTATGGCATTGTTTGATAATTGTTTAAACGTATAAAAAGCACGAAACTATTGTTGTAAAAAAAGAACAACAACACCCGTGACCCAAATAGGCGCATAACGCCAAAACTGCAACTCAGCGAACCTACGACCTTGGTACTAGAACCGGCGTTGAAAGTACGACCACAATAAAACAGAAAAAAACGACGGTAGCCGGACAATCGGTGATTCTCCGGGGGCCGCGTATCATCTGGCATAGTATCGCGTGTAGTCCGGTTATTGTGGCAGCTCGAAAGTTCGCAACCCTCAACTGACCGAGTTCCAGAAGACTGAACGTGTCGTGGTTGAAGCCCTAATATACACATAAGGTAACAGATTTCTTTATACTAACCTGTGTAATTAT